AGAGCAGAGCATCTCTTGGCTGGCTGCGGCTTGGGAAGAGGCTTGGTGTGCACGTGTGAGCTAATGTGCTTCCCGAGACACAAGGGCTGCTGTAGGGCCCTGCTGTCTTCTGGGTCTGTGGCTTCATGATTAGGGGCTCCTGGGGCTCTCCTGCTGATAAGAGCAATGAGTGCTTCCCATGGGGCAGTGTGACCTGGAGGGGAATAGGGGGGGGGACCAGAGCAGCCTCTTCTTTCCTTGCTGAGGCTTGGGGTGGGCTTAGCTGTTGTGGTCGGTGCTCAAGCAGTGCGTTGTTTCCCCCTCCTCTATCTGGCCCTGAGCCCTCCCATTACCCTACCTAAAGAGATCTGATAATAACCTTCATATTCTGAAGCTCCTAAACATCTGCTTGGGCACTAAACTATTCACTACTGCTGCTGCTAGCCAAAACCCCCCAAAACCAACCCAAAAGGCCCATATGTGTGAAACCTTTCCCAGTTAAAAGGTTTGGATCTGCAGCCTTCTGCAGAAATAGCCTTGGTTTCCCTGAACAGGGAGGGAGAGTGGGGGAAAGGGGAGGCCACAACAGCCTGGGATGTTTCTGCAGCTGCTGATCCCTGTTAGAATGGGTTACTATTGATGTCCCACCTCCTACTAACGTGCTCTGCACGCTGTGATGCTCTGCCCTCCTTGAGCCACACAGGTAACGGTGCCACGCTGCTATGGTTGCTCTTATTCCATCCTCAGCCGAGCTGAAGCTATTTTTTGCCCTTCCTGCAGCACCAGCAGCCTGTGCAAGCACCACTGGGCTCCCACCAGAGCTCTCCTCGCCTCCATTCCTGCTTTAACCTCCTGCCGCTGTAAAGCTCCTGTGTGGCAGCAGTAGGCGCAGGGCTGCTGGGTTCTAACCCCCTGTAAACTGGGTTAAATGATGCTCAACCCCAATCCAGGTCCCCTGGGCAGGAGCTTCGGGGAGCAGAGCTGGGTTCTTGTGTCCAGCATCACCCTCCTGCCTTGGGTCCGGTCACCAGCAGGGTGAGGGAGAGGATGCTGCCCCTCTGCTCTGCTCTGGTGAGCCCCCACCTGGAGCACTGCATCCAGCTCTGCAGTCCTCAGCATAGGAAGGATGTGGACCTGTTGGAACGGGGCCAGAGAAGGGACAGGATGATCAGATGGATGGAGCAGCTCTGCTGTGAGGAAAGGCTGAGAGAGCTGGGGTTGTTCAGCCTGGAGAAGAGAGGACTCAAGGGAGACCTTGTTGTGGCCTTTCAGTACATAAGGGGGCTATAAGAAAGATGGAGGGAGACCTTTTACCAGGGCCTGTTGCAACAGGACAAGGGGTGATGGTTTTAACCTAAAAGAGGGAGATTCAGCCTGGATGTGAGGAAGGAATTCTGTACAGTGAGGGTGGTAAAACACTGGCACAGGTTGCCCAGAGAGGCGGTGGATGAACCATCCCTGGAGACATCCCAGGCCAGGCTGGATGTGGTTCTGGGCAACCTGATCTGGTTGAAGATGTCCCTGCTCATTGCAGGGGTTGGACTGGATGAGCTTTGAGGGTCCCTTCCAACCCAAACCATTCCATGAGGTGGGAGGGACCCTCTGTGATTGCCCCTCTCCTTGGCTGCTCTGCCACCGTTGGGTGGCTTTTTCCCTATGGCCTTTCCATGAGGGTTTGATGGTGATGGTAGCTTTTGCCTGCCTGTGGGCTCTTCTCCCTCTGTTTGCTGAGCGCATGTGGAATGTGGGTATTCCTGGGCAGCACCACATGGCACCCATTTCAGACTCTGAGACAATGCCCACCACTGGTTTTGCTGGTCTATAGATGGCTGAATTGAAGGGGATGCAGGGAGCTGGGGCCTATGACTGGAAATGAAGGAGTGCAGCAAAGCCAAGCCTCCCTGCATTAGCTTTGTGTTGTTATAGACCATTAAAAACACACTGCTGACTCCTGATTCAGCAATGGTGACTGTGTCGTGCGAGGAATGGGCCGGTGTTAGAAACCCTTGGTTTCCAGAGTTACCTTTTCCCCCGAGGAAAAACTGTATCTGAGCATTTGTGAGCGCTGAAGCCTTGGCTGCAGATGAAACCGGGCTGCCACTTGTCAAAGGGCTTAGGCAAGCAGCAAGAAGAGCATGATGGAGAGAGGAAAATCCCCATGGCAGGGCTGATAGTGCTGCAGGCAGCGTGAACTGGAAGGGGGGGGATCACTCTTTGAAGCTTTCTGGTGAGCACTTCATGTCTGTTGTCAGGACACTGCTGCTTGGCAGAGCCCTGGTTTGGCTTCAAAGGTCCCCATTCTACCTGCTTTGGCAGCAGCAAAAGCACCTGATGTTGTTGTATAGAGGGGTCCAAGCATGCTGGGGTGCAGAGAGGTGGGCAACCTGCTGCACCCATGGCCTGATGAGGTCTGCAGGACATCAGAGTGAGTTTTAGTGCATCTTCACCAGCGGGAAAGGCACGGTGGGGATGCTGAGCAGTGCATCTTGTGGGGTGGGATAGGCTGCAAACACACTGCCTCCATCACCAGGCATTGTCTCTGGGCATGGGGAAATGGCTGTTGGTTGTGTTCCTCGCCTGGATCCGATGGTGGAAGTGTCTTAGTGGGTGCTGGAGACAGTGGCCTCTATCCTTGTGATGGGTGTTGTGGTGCGTGGAACCTCTTTGCTGCCGAGAGGTTTCTTTAGATGAGATGTATGGATGATGCCCTTCCTTGGCACCTTCACAGTATCACAGTATCACAGTATGTTAGAGATTGGAAGGGACCTCAAAAGCTCATCCAGTCCAATCCCCCTGCCGGAGCAGGAACACCTAGATAAGGTTACACAGGAACGTGTCCAGGCAGGTTTTGAATGTCTCCAGAGAAGGAGACTCCACAACCTCCCTGGGCAGCCTGTTCCAGTGTTCCGTCACCCTCACTGAGAAGAAGTTTCTTCTCAGGTTTAAGTGGAACCTCTTGTGTTCCAGTTTGTACCCATTGCCCCTTGTCCTATCATTGTTTGCCACTGAGAAGAGCCTGGCTCCATCCTCGTGACACTCCCCCTTTATATATTTATATACACTAATAAGGTCACCCCTCAATCTCCTCTTCTCCAAACTATAGAGACCCTGAAAGAGAGCAAAAATCCCTCCCCAGAGCTCTGGTTTGCCAATTGGTATGACTGGGATGAGGAACCCTATGACTGGTATGAGGAGCCCCTTCTCCCCCTGCCACGAGCAGCGCTGTGTGACAACAGAGAGTGAAGGTCTCAAGGAAGAGAGGAGCTGGGTTATACAAGAGACCTCTAGCTCAGAGTTTCAAGTGAGGTGCCAGTCCTGAGGCTGGGAAAGCTCAAGATGTGGGAGGGATGGCTTTGTGTCAGCTACAGGAACGGATGAAAGAGGGCTTAACACAATAGCGGTGTCTGGAGCAAGCGAGGCTATCGGAACAGAATGCTGTCAGCAGTGCTGGTGTGCAATGCTCGTTCCCTTTCTCTCCTGGCAGAGCTTCATAGAAGCTACCTGAAAATGCAGGCTCAGCTCTTTCAAAGTGCTGTTTTGGAAGGAAGTTAGGAGTGAAAAGCTGAGTTTTCTGCTTTGGAGAAGCCAAGGCCTTGGTATTATGCTGCTGGATGCAAAATCACTCTATTCTTTGCATACACATAAGTTATTTAGGCTAATTTTCTGTCTTTATGAGCAAGCCTGTTTAGTGGTGTCTACTGTTTTCCATTCCCTGTGAGTATGGCAAGCAGTTTGTCTCACACCACAGCCAAGCACAGGGTAAAAGGGATGGGTGGATGACCCTCAGAGGAGTGTGTGTGTTCGCATCCCTTTCACAGCCCCGCTTCAGCCCCGTGTGCTTTGCAGAGCTGTCCTGTCAGGCTTTCCTATCTGTGTTGCTGAGATGCCTGCTCATGAGGAACGCTGTGCAGATGCTCAGTCTTTCCAGGCTGTGTCTGACCGCACAGACCAAAAACTGATGCCCATGGGAGTTGCCTGTTTGAAAACAAGGCTTCAGGGTGAAGAACAACAAAAGAATTACCTAGATATTTATATTGATAAAAGAATTTATAGTTAATATTTACATTAAATTGAATTTTTAATAATATTTATATTTAATACTTTTATGTATGTATAATTTATATTTGTTTTCATTTATATTTTAGATAGTACAGAGTCATGTTCTCTCCTCTTCTTCCATGCGTGCACACACATATCCACATGCAAGTTTTCAGCCCCTTTCCGTTTTCTTGCAGAGCTGAGTGAGATCTGAAGCCACGTCTCCCCTTTCCAAATCATGTTTCAATGGGAGATGAGGAGCTAAGAGGAGGGAAATCCTATTCCTCATTATGCAGCCATTCCCTAGGGTACCAGTCTGCAGGGCAGGCTGGCCGGGGTGAAACCAGGGCACTGTGTCATTTCTGTGACATCCTTATGGATCAGTAAGTAGGCAAAGCTTTATCCCAGCTTTCTGACCTATGTTTTCTATGGACACATATGCAGAAGAATGGGGACAACAGCTTCTTTCTCCCTAAAAAAGCCACCTCCTGTGTGACTTGTGTCCGGTCCAGTGGCTGGGTGTCTCTGCAGACAGAGGTGAAGGAGGCAACAAAACCATGCTGCATCAGCAGCTCTCATAGCAAAGAGGCAAGACAGGACCTTCTCTGTGGGACCCAGCTAAGGGAAATGTCCTCTTAGTTCCTATGGGGAATCAGATGTCCCAATACTTTTGTTGTTTTGGACCCGAAAACCAGAATCCTTTCCCCAACCTGCCCTAGGGGTCCTAACTGGACCCCTTTACCCAGCTCCTCAAAGGTGGATATTCCCAGACTGTGAAGCCATAGAGGAGAATTATGTTACTGGGTTTGCTGTCCTGAGTATGTATGGCAAGATTTGTGGCATTTAGTGGGAAAACTCAAGGTGAGAGCATTTAATCCCAACTCTCCCCGCTGCAATGGGATTGCTGCTGGCTGTATTTATGGGTTTGGTTTTGCTGCAGAACAGTTTATTTGTTAGGAAGGAGGAAAACACATAGGAAACCATGCCATGGTTCTACAGGTGATCTAAGCTGTCCCGGGTGAGTTTGTGTCAACAACAGGAAGAAACTGTAGATGTAAAAGAGCAGATCAATGCAGAGAAGTCCTACAGGGGGCCCTGGGAAGTTCTGTAGGTCTGGAAGATGTGATCCTTAAATTGTACCAGAAATTCCTAGCTGTTACAATCAGAAACTAGGCCAAAGCACTTCTAGTCTATTAGCTGTGCTGGGTGGTGTTGCTAGGTTGGGAGGGTCCCATCAATGCAGATTGGTGTCTCAAAGGTGGGTACCAGGAGGATGCTGCCAGACTCTTCCCAGTGGTGCCCAGCAACAGGATGAGGAGCAATGGCCATAAACTAACACACAACAAGTGTCACCTCAGCATGAGGAAGAACTTCTTTACACTGAGGGTGTCAGAGCACTGAACAGGCTGCACAGGGGGGGTGTGGAGTCTCCCTCTCTGGAGCCATCCCAAACCCTCATGGACACGTTCCTGTGTGACCTGCTCTGGGTGGCCCTGCCTTGGCAGGGGGTTGGACTGGGTCATCTCCAGAGGTCCCTTCCAACCCTAATGACTCTGTGATTCTCTATCTAAGGCCTGAAATAATGGTGTAAGCTGACAATGGACTATGAAAAAAGGAGCAAAGGAGGAGCCTGTGGGAAGCAGAGGTGAGGTACACAGTGCGCTTGGAACAAAATGATGAGAGTTTGGAGGTGGTAGACTGGAGGAAAGCTGTCATGATGGACAAAATGCTGCTGACAACACCTCCTCCTGTGCTGGTATAGCAGGGCTCCTTCACTCCTAGTAGTGGCTGCCATGCAGCTGGACACAGACACTCATATATACTTAATTCCTCAGGTAGAGGGACAGCAAAAGAACCCAACACCCTTTGAGATGACACATGAACTCGCACTACTTTTATTAACTGAAGAAGCCTTTGAAAGGGCTGGCAAGCACTTGCACCACCAAGTGAACTCACCGTGCTGCTGTTATGTTAGGGGCCACAGGGCTGTGTTGGGTATGTAGTAGCTCAGCAGTGCCACAGCTGATTTTCATCCTGACCTCCTCCCATTTCCTCCATGCTCAAAGCCAGCACAGCCATTGAGGGTTACAACTCCAAAGTGCTGTTAAGCTTCCAAACACAGCTGCTTTAGATAGTGTTAGGTAGAAACAGATGGTCACTAGTGGATGACCAACATACAGTAATCATTTCCTACTAAGCCTACAGCAGTTCATGCAGCACCTCTGTTTCCATGTCAAACAGGAGGAACATCACTGGGCTTATCGAGGAGCATATGGGTAGCGTGGCTGCCCTCTCCCCCTCCCAGGGACTGGTCCCAATGGGTGCCCCCTTGGCCTGTGCTGGCCAGGGTAAGGTGCTCGGACCCCCAGTGCCAGCGGCTGTGTCACCAGCACGTGCGGCGGTGGGGTGAACGCTGCTCCTCTCCCACCAGGTATGGGGCTGCCATCCAGGGCTGCTGCCTTGCCCTGTGTCCCCACAGGGCTGTTTCCATGTGGAGGCTCTCTTTTCCTGTCTAGAGGGAAGATTATGGATGTTATTTTCTTGAGGGTAAGCATTGCCTTTCTTCCTCTCCACAGTGGCTGCTGTTTCTCCTATGGGTGATAACTCCAGTGTATGGGATTAGTGTTTGAGTGTCAGAGTGATGAAGCCATAACTAAGACCATTAGCCCCTGGCCAACAGCCAGTATGTGCTGCCCAAGCTCTCTCTGCAGGTTCTTGCTGATGAAGAGGTGGCAGTCCTACCAGCCCTGCTGGCCCACCTCTAGCCACATGGTGGTCACGGGTAATCGCTGGTTTTAGTCTCTATTTCCAATGCACCCACAACTCTGCCAGCACTGTTTCCATTTAAATGAGTGCCCTGGGTCTTCTCTGAGGGGGATCTCTATTGGGTCAGCCTGAACTTTGCAGCTTGTCTTGGCCTCTCCAAGAAACAGCCCTTCTAAACGCGAGAGGGCTGCGGTGGCACTGCTCTGCTTTACTTGGCTGCATCGGGGTAAACCCCGCATCTTTCACGTGTGTTGCACTGCTTCTCACAGGTGAGAGGTCAGGAAATGGCTGGTTCAGAGCATGCCTGGAGGATGTGAATTCCTTGAGAGTGCCCAAACCCTGGTGCCAGTGCCTCCTCCTGCAGCCTTCTGCCCAGCCATGGACCCCTGCAGCAGAGCTTACAGCATTTATTTGCTCTAAGACCAACACAGTCCTATAAAAAAGCTTCTGCCTCATTCCTAATGGATTCTTCAATGAAAACCTCCATTTGGAGGAAAGTCAGGGCCTGGATCAGCTCATCAGCCCAGGAACAATGCTGGAATGCCAGTATTGATCCTAGAACGAATTGCTGGTTCCATGACCGACATGGTTAATAGCTGGAATATGAATCAGAACTTTGGACTACAGTTCCAACACTGTGATAAGCCTATGTGGGACATAATCCAGTCTAAAAACTCGCCCTTCCTCCATGGACTCTAAGGGGACAAAATCTGTGCTAGTTATATTATCCCATCCCTTACAAATGTGTGTCACTCCAGTTTCTCCATCCTTAGCCAGTCTGGTGTCAAAAGGAGCATTTGCAGGAGTGTTGGGATGTGTGCATGTGTGTGGTTAGTTTTTACCTTCTCCTTGCTTGGGCTGACTTTCATTCTTTGTACTTGGTGTAAATAGATCCTCCAGGTCTTGCATCATGGGGTTAGTGCTGGCTTTGTTGTTTCTCTTGTTCTTCTCCTCTTCACGTTGCTGCAATAAAAACCATTGGGTTTAGTGTGAAACTGCAGATATAACCTGTGAAAAGGTGGCCTGACATCAGGGTTGGCTTGCCTAGGTGTGTGTTGATATGAATGCAATCCCTTTGCCAAGCTCAAGGTGCTGAGTCTTGGTCTGGAGTCCAAGGGCTTTAGGGAAAGAAAGCAGGTCCAGGCAGGACTGAGAGCTTGGGAAGCAATGGCTCTGCTGCTGTTGGGGCAGAGCGCTTGCTGACAACGTGATGTAGGGGTGCCAGGCTGTCTGTGTGTTTCTGGAGCTGTCAGTCTGCTCTCCCTGGGGTTTTGGTTTGGTTTAAATGTGTATCTCTTGGGAGGGAGCGCTAAATGCCAGAGGAAGAGGAGGAAGGCACAGCAGCATGGGGATAGGCTGTAGGGATGTCTTTAGGTCTTCAAAAGACTTCCTTCTGAGTGGCAGAAGGAGGAAAATACCCCAGGGGCTGGTTTTGCTCACACAAAGGGTTCCATATGGGGAAGGGAGAGGCTGCCCTCTCTTTGCAGTGTGAGAAAGTGTGGATGGGATCCACTCCATCTCCATCTCCCCTCCCAGAAGAGTGCTTTGCCAATGGAGGAAGCTGTGTGCTGGGGCCATGGGATGCAAGGCAGTGGTTGTGGCCTTGCTACAGCCATTTGGCAAAGCTGCCAGACTTTGGGGGCAGCTGCAGCAGATGCCTCTGAGCTCAGCAGGTCATCATACAGGGGACTGTGGTGGGCTCCAACTGCTGAGCCCCTGCCATGACTGGGCAGCTCGCATCCCTCGCTCCTAAGCAGGGGGACTGTGCTGTTCCTTTGGGCAATACCAGGACCTGCTTTGTGAGCCCTGCTTGAAGGCTTGAGCTCCCTTAAACTGTGATCACAACAGGTTTGTGCAGCATGAAATGGACTACATGACTGTAAGTGCAAGTGTGCTATAGCACGTGTTCAACTCCTGCAATACTTGAGGATGCTTTGTGCACCAAGCCCTTATTTTAAGCCAAGTGCATGAGCAGGTGAACTATTCAGAAACTGATGGTTCTGAATTTGAGCATTCAGATGTAATTTATGGAGTCTCATTTCTCAGTGCTGACATCCTCACTTTTAATGTTGCACTGATCTCTGCTTCCTGTAATGTGTTGCTCTTCTCCCAAGTAATGAGTGACAGGACAAGAGGAACCGGCCTCAAGCTGCACCAGGGCAGGTTTAGATGGAGCTGAGGAACAATTCCTTCCCCAGAGGGTGCTCAGGCATTGGAACAGGCTGCCCAGGGCAGGGCTGCAGTCACCGTCCCTGCAAGTGTTCACACAGCGTGGAGACGAGGCCTCAGTGCCATGGGTTAGTGGTGGCCTTGGAGTGCTGGGAACGGTTGGACTGGGTGAGCTTGAAGGGCTTTTCCAGCCCAGTTGATTCTATGACTCTATGTGTCATTGCTTTCTTGGCTTGGATGCTGCCCTGTATCAGTAAAGTGTCTGATACCAGGCTTTTGGTGGCATCTTGTCTTTTCCTGATGCAAGACTTAGCACTTTGGACACATCTACATAGTACAAAACAGCACAGGGTTAGAGACCCACCAGTAAAGCTCTGGGGTAAACTGGTGCTGCCAGACCAGCACATGCTCTGGTAGCAGGACAGCTTTGCTGTTTCTCATTGAGACACATTGTCTAAGCAGAGCTGTGCTCCTGCTGCAGGTATTCTGCTGCCAGACCTCATTCATATTAATTGAGGTGCCCTGCCTTATAGTTTTCTGCTTGCTGCATCCCTTCTCAGTTGTAGATATAATGAGGTCCAAATCCCACCCTGCTAATTTGAGTCATTGCATCTGTCTGTATCTTGTCTTTCCCTTCTGTCTGACAGTCACCAGCCTCCATTGTAAAGTGCTTGGAGAATTACTGGTAAAGAACGTTATTGCCATGCTGTTATTTATGGCTCTTTGCTTTTCAGCTTGTACAAACTGTGGTTCTGATAGGTTTATCATTGTCCCTGGGAAATCTCAGGCTCCAAAACATTACTTGAACTTATTTTTGTAGGTGAAAAGTGCAGTTTAGGGGAAAACTCACTGTGGTTTTGATGTACGACATAGCAGCCTATGACAGGCTCTTTGCAATTAGCCATTAAATGCCATCAGAGACAACTGAACAAGCATCAAATGCCTCTTCCCCCTTGTGTTGCTAACGTGTTCAGAAGTGCAGAGCAATTCAAAAGCACACGTTGCCCATCAGACTTGAGGTGCATGGTAGTTTCTCCAAGATGGCTTTGCCAGATCAATACTTACCATTTGCATCTTCTTCTTCAGCTCCGCATTGGCGCGCTGGTACGCTTCAGCCACGGCGTTCAGGTAATAGATGGCAAGGCTACAGAAACAGATGTATTGCTGTAGTGATAAGGCCAGGGCAGTGATAAGTCCCATAAGGAGGGAAGATTTAACTTTCTGGCTATATTTGAACACCGAGTTTCCCCACAGCCTGTCTCCAAACTGCTTTTAGGGGCTGAAGGCTTAGGAAGAATCCCATAGCGTGATCAGCTAAGATGGGCTGAGCCAGCCCAGCAGCTCAGCTCTGCTCAAGCCAAAGGAAAAGGAGCATCCTGCCCTCCTACCTCCACCTGGGCTGGCTGTGGGCTCCCTCTGCCTCCTTTGCACCAACCGTGGTGAAACCAGGCACCAGCCTTGAAAACCAACTCTACTGATAAAACACATGGCTGAAAGGAAAACCCTGGCCTGGTGACAAAGCAGGTTACAGAGGGACCTTTGGAAAACCCTAGGAAAATGATGGCAGGGCCCTGATCCCCCTTCTGAAAAGCATATTGGTCAAGGCACGGTCCTCCTCATTGCAGGACCAGCTGCTTCCTGCCTACTGGAAAGGGGCTGTCAGGAGGGAGCAGAGACTGGAACTGAGGGAAAGCAGAAGCCAGGTCAGAGCAGAGCCACTGGCTTTTGTTTCAATCCCTTCTCCTGCAGAGAAGGGCATGTCAAAAGCCAGGGGAAAACTGAGCCAAGCTCGAGGGAGCTGAAAGGTGATCTGGAGAGGGACTCTTCATCAGGGACCGTAGCGATAGGACAAGGGGTGATGGGTTCAGACTGAAACAGGGGAAGTTCAGGTTAGATCTAAGGCAGAAGCTCTTCCCTGTGAGGAAGAACAGGGCGAGGGGTGATGGTTTTAACCTAAAAACAGGGAGATTCAGGCTGGATGTGAGGAAGAAATTCTGTACAATGAGGGTGGTAAAACACTGGCACAGGTTGCCCAGAGAGGCGGTGGATGAACCATCCCTGGAGACATCCCAGGCCAGGCTGGATGTGGTTCTGGGCAACCTGATCTGGTTGAAGATGTCCCTGCTCATTGCAGGGGTTGGACTGGATGAGCTTTGAGGGTCCCTTCCAACCCAAACCATTCTTAAACAGGGGACATTTAGGTTGGATGTAAGGAGGAAGTTCTTCCCTGTGAGGGTGCTGAGGCACTGGCACAGGGTGCCCAGAGAAGCTGTGGCTGCCCCATCCCTGGCAGTGTTCAAGGCCAGGTTGGACACAGGGGCTTGGAGCAACCTGGTCTGGTGTGAGGTGTCCCTGCCCATGGCAGGGGTTGGAACTGGATGAGCTTTAAGCACCTTTCCAACACAAACCAGTCTGGGATTTTATGAATATATAAAAGAATAAAGGTTTCCCATAAGCTCACATCTGCTTGTGTGGCTTCAGCCCAGGTTCAGCATCCTCAAACCAGGCTTGAGGATATTGGCAGCAGAGTGCCAGATGCTGAGCCCATCAAGGCACCATGTCCTGGCATATCAATTTCCAGGTGGGAGATCAGGAAGGGGTACTTAGGCTGCTTGCAGGGGTCTGTCTGGAGGGAAGACATTTGGTTTCTGTTGCCTAGTATTAACCCCAAAGTCAGTCTTGGTGATCTGGGCTCTCTGACCCTCAAAAGCCTCTTGGAAATTACTGTTATTGTCTACCTGTCTGCACCACAGCCCAAGCTGAAGACTTTCAGGGAGAAAGCAGGAAACTGGGAGCTTACTGGGATGTAATTCCTTCAACTGGGAGATTTCCAAGAGCAGCAAAGGACCCAAGCCTCAGGAAACATCCTTGCATGGTACCTATGATTTTGTCTTGGATTACCCCAGGCGAAGTTTGTGTGCACATAGACAGCATCACTTCTGCAAGACCCCTGATGCTCTTGGGGCATGCAAGAGCTACTGCCATGGGGCTGTAGGTCTGACTTGTCCATGGGGGCAACCACTTCTTTTAGGGCTGTGACTCTCCTGGTTGCTGAATGACTGAAAATCATAGGTACCTACTGTCCTCAGAGGAAACACAGTGTAGCTGGGTGGGAAATGGGGTGATTTAGGTAGTGTGGATGTAGGGGGGGATCGCTCAGTTTGCAAAGAGATTTGAGGCAGAGATAAATTGGTGTCTTGAAGAGACATGGACAGATAGAATGGCTGTGGTGTGGGAATAGCCCAGGCTGAGAAGGGGTGATAAAAGGTGTCTCTTCAACAGATCAACTGGATTTGTGCTGTCCCCTGACCTCCCTGGTATTGAATCACCAGACTGGTTTGGGTTGGAAAGGGCCTTAAGATCATCCAGTTCCAACCAGGTTGCCCAAGGCTCTGTAGCTCAAGGCAGGAAGAGGGATGACATGGAATCGTCAGTTTGGTTGGGATTTGTCTCAATCTGTTTCTTATTGAAACTTTGTAATGTGGGAACCAGGATTTGATTTGATTTAATGGTATTTTCCTCAGTGTAACCTATTCAAATTGAAGGGTCACAGCGCCCAAGAGGCCCATCTCTATTGTCTGTGGCTGCCTAAAGAAGAGTGACAGCAGGCAAGCAGATGTAATACGCTCCCCAGCCCTCTCCCTGTCTCCCACTGTTTAGTCTGGAGTGTGGAGTGTTCAGGGCTCAGAATTCGATCACAGCTTTCCCATTATTTTGATAGCTACGGAAACCTCAAGAACAATGCCAAAAATATGTGTTTAAAAAGAAAGAACTGCCTTGGCCTTAGTGCTGCGGAAGGTGATGGAGATGTAAGTGTTGTTTCAAAGCAGAAATGACCAGACAGCACTGAAAAAATCCCATAGAACCATAGAATGAACCATAGAATGTTCTTTGGGAGCAGAGACTGACCCCACCTCACTCCAACCTCCTGTCAGGCACTTGTAGGGAGCCATCAGGTCCCCCCTGAGCCTTCTCTTCTCCAGACTGAACCCCCCCAGGTCCCTCAGCCGTTCCCCATCACACTTGTGCTCCAGGCCCTGCACCAGCTCCGTTGCCCTTCTCTGGCCCCGCTCCAGCCCCTCAATGTCTCTCTTGCAGTGAGGGCCCAGAACTGAACACAGGATTTGAGGTGCAGCCTCACCAGTGCCCAGCACAGGGGCACAATCCCTGCCCTGGCCCTGCTGCCGCACTGGTGCTGATCCAGGCCAGGATGCTGGGGGCTTCTTGGCTGCCTGGGCACAAGCTGCTCATGTTCAGCCCCATCAATCAGCACCCCCAGGGCCTTTCCCATGAGCAGTTTCCAATCACTCCCCAAGGCTGGAGCAGTGCATAGGGTGGTTGTGGTCCATGCTGCATTATTCCAGCTGTATTATCTGGAAAAAGAAAAAACCCCACAAACCCAAACAAGCCCCACAACTCTTCATAGTTGTGGCACATGTACATTTAGAATGCCCTGTCTTAGCAGTGCCCTAAATGCCACCAGTTGTGACAGAAATTGCTTCTCCCAAAGGCATCAGGTTGGGACTGTCCATTTGTGTTCTGCTGGCTACTGAGGTTTCTCGTAGGGAAGCTGTGACAGCTTTGATATCCATGAGGCCTCTTTCTGCAATGTGCTTCATCTGCAAAGTTGTGTTTAATGGGATCAGGTAACCACATTTTGGTAAGTTGGGGTGGGTGAAGGTGAGGGAATAGTGAGCATGTGTCTGCCCTAATCTGTTCTGTTATCTCAGCAGAAGCTCTCTAGGATCCCATCATTCTTCTCTTTTCTTCCACCTCCTCCCCCCAGCCAGGCATATACTATTGCAAGGAAAACTTACACCATGAGCAGAATTGCAGGTATGATCAGTCCGGGATTTGCCACATAGCTGAAGATCTTGGCAACAAAAAGTGGGAAATCGAGCTCAATGGTCTCTTGAATGACTTCATACATCCTTTTCTTCCCACTGGAAAGACAAACAGCGGGTTAGGGAGTATAGGTACGTCCTGGAGGGCCAAAATAGCTCCTCATCTCACAACACTAAGTAGCTTCCTCTGTCTTTCAGAGCATCATCTGGTGCTTGGCCACCAAGGTTCTTAAACTACCTTCATTTGAGATTATCTATTGGTGCATCAATTCCTCCTTGACCCCCGTTGATTATGAGAATAAGACCAACTTGCTCTTGGAGTGAATCCATTTATTTCCACACGTGGCTCCTTTATGAGCTCTATTTATCCCTCTGAAGTGTATAAAAATCTACAGATTGCAGACCCATCATATATTTCTACTCAATATCTTGTTAAAGATGGCCTTTTCACAGAGATGACTTTCCATATGCAAATGCCAGCTTTCTGAAACGATGAGCCAACTTGAAGAGCTGCTAAGTAATGACAGAAATAGCAAGCTGTGATTATTGCTTAATAGGAGACTCAGTGAAAGAGTAATTTCAAACCGGATTGATAAAACAGATGAGAGTGTTACGTATGAAAGGAGAGCAAATCTGGAAGAGGCTGGGTTGTGTAATCGACCTTCTTTCCCCAGCATCCCTTTGGTTGTGAATGCACCCCTGCAGGAGCTATTCCTCACATTTAGGCTTGTGCCTCCTGGGATCTTGCAGGGTTCTGCTCAAGAAGGTGTCCTGATGGTGAGAGTCAATAAAGGCAAACTTGGTTAAACCCTATCCCAGCTTCACTAAGTGCCTGCAGCTCAGGAGAGCCGAGCTCTCAGTCAAGCTGTGCGGTGTGCCAAGGGCCTGAATCGGGCTGAGTGGCTTTTGAAGGGTTGATAGGGAATTGAAATCGCTGTTTCACATTGCAGATTAGTCATCTCCGAATGACAGCGGATGTACAGCGAGTTTCTTGTCAGAGCTTTCCACGTGGCTCATTGACACCTGCCCTTGTTTTGGGACTGAGGGAATTTTGATCTCTTGCCTTCTCCTCTGAGCTTTGCAGCTTCCTTGTTGTCATTCCCCATTAGCAAGTGGATAACCTGTCTTACAGAGACAACTTGTTCCAAGCTGGCTCCTTGCTGAGTCAGGCTCAGCAAGCCCAGGAAATGGCATTACTCAATCAAATTAGACTTTATTGGCATGTAAATCCGGTCCACTGAATGCTCCCTGAAGTGCTGATTCTGTCCTAATTAAAACCCAAAATAGGCATTTTTCCTTTTTTTTTCCCTAAAGATGCAACTCTTTGGGCTCAGACCTACCCATTTCTATTTTTATCCTACATATATTCTATCGTATTTAATTCTTATTTATTATTATGGCATTTTTATTCTACATTTACTGAATTTGACACAATTCAACATGTAAAGTACAGCTCATGCTGTAGGAGCTCTTGGCTCTATGGAAGGTCTTAGAAAGAGTCTTTAGTCCCGTTTTGCTCCCACAGTGTTCCAGACAATATTAGAGGTGTTCCTGTTGCTTTTTTGTACTGGGGGCTGCACCCTGATGTCCCACCCCTGCTTTGCCTGGTGCTTTCATTGGTGTGTGTTAGGAAAACACCAGGAATCATGCAGCAGAGGAGCTTGTGGAGCCCAGTGCAGAACAGCAGCCAGGAGCTCAGAGCCAGTTCACTGCTCCCAGATGACTGTTTGCACTCTACATTGGGGCACAGCCCATTGATAAGGATTTAACCAGGTGGAGAATGGAGGCATTTCATTAACTTCATGAACATAATCCCACATATCACAGCCCAACAATGGTCTCTGTGGTGTGTTGCTAGTACCTGAACGGTCCGCAGTCAAAGGAGGGAGGCAGGGACATGATGGTGTAAGCCACAGGCAGGAGGCTGAGGAATAGGATCAGCAGCAAAAGTCCCATGTAAAAATTATTAGACTTGGATGCTTTGAAGACTCGTTCATGAGGGACATTGCTACTCATAACAGCCCAGCACTGAAAATACATGGAGGTTAATAAGCGCAGCACGTTTATACCCACGAGCCCTGGTGCGTAAAAGGATCCCATCCTGTAAAGGAAAGAAGGAAAGGAATTGGGTTTTGACAGGCTGGAAGGAAGGTTTTTTACTCTCAAAAGGAGGAAAACAAGTTTTCATGCTGTTTTTCATGCCCACAAATGAAGTCTGACTATGCTGGCTTGTGCTACCCCTCTGCTTCCGAAGGAGAAGCTGCTTGCATCCATGTTTGGGTAAGGTAACCAGGCATTGAGGACCAGTGAGATCTCTGATCCCTCAGTGATTGCAATGAAAGATTTTGTCAGTTTGTGACCAAAAAAATCTCTTGGAGATAGCTTGGGCAGTGCCAGGTGAATATTACGAGTATGGAGATACCCCTTAAATCTGCAGAGATGCTGTAGTAGGGGACAAGGCAGAAGTTATCAATCCATGGCAGGAAACCTTGCTCGCAGAGGAGGTGAGGGTGCTTTGTGCTGTTCCTATTGCTGCTGGTGCTGTTACAGCAGGGCTTAGCAACTCCTGTTTGCCCTCACTTGGGGCAGTTTTGGGATGTGCCCCTCCGTGCCCACCCCTGCATTGATGTGGAAGCTTGCAGTGCCTCCAAATCCCTTTCTGATCTCTGCACAGGAAGCCAAACAAAGAAACCAAACCCCAAAGGTTATTCTAGCTGGTTTGGAAGCTTTCTAACTCCACTTGCAGGTGTTCTCAATGATATAAAACACAAACAAGGGTGGGGAGGGGGGGGAAGGAAGTATCTTACCAAATCATTCCCTGGTTGAAGACCAAACCCAAAACATTGCCGCTTATGTCAAACTCTGCATAGGATGGCTGCATGAGGAGAGAAAGGAGAGTGATGTTGGTAAAGGTACCTGCTATTGTTTGCTGCTGGGTATAAGGATGCTTATTTAAAGCTGGTGGGAAGGGATTTCTGGGAGGGCTCCTGCTGAGTGCATAACACTCGAGTGACCAGCAGCAGAGCAGTGAAAGCAAAGTTGGAGCTATCGTGCTCTGGGCTGCTGCTTCTCTCTTGGCTTGCTGAAAATGGCAAGGATATATGGAAGTGCTTAGGATTGCTCTGTGTTTATTTCTCCTTTCTAATACAAAACCATCTGCGAGCAAAGGAGCCATGGCATGGGACTAGGTTTTAACACTCCAGCTGCTGTATCTGGCTGCAAACCTGCAGTTCCATCCTATTGAATGTTTGAATGGTGATAACGAATTGCTGGAGGGAAATGCAACACCAGATGCATTCATGTCCCCAGCTGCAGAGCACAGAGGGCAGAGGGAGACAAATCTGAGGGAATACATGAGCTGATGGGTACTGGGTGTCATTTTGCTCTGTGAATGCTAGTTAAGATATTGCTTTGTATGGAGCAGCCTGTCTGACATGAGTGCTAGGGGTGCTATGTGCAGAACAGGTTGGTCTAACCTATTGGCAGCATTTGTTTCATACATGGGTGTTCTGCTAGATTTGCCTATGATGAAGCTATTGTTTCTTACACATAGATCTGCTATTTTGCACACAAAACTCAGTTGACTTTTGGTAGATGAAAGTACATGTAGATTTGTCTTCTACATTTTATTGAAAAAGACTCTTTTTCTACTGCAATGCAGAAAACATGGTTCTAAAAAGTGATGGGAATATGTTGGAAATTTCCTGTGCAGAATGTCTGGTTTTCACACCACGTGCATGTACATAATACTGTCAGCAGTTCATCAAGCTGAGGCTTAAGATGTTTGTCTTTAATGATGAAAACTGGAAAGGAGCCTGGTCAGAGCCTTGCTTTGCTGACTGCTCCCAGCTTTGGGAAGGCATGGGTGCAAATACTGGTTTCTTTGTTCTTTTAATTACAGTCCCTTTCTACTTCAAATCATAGAATTGTAGGATGGTTTGGGTTGGAAGGCACCTTAAGATCATCCAGTTCTAACCATGAGCAGGGACACCTTCCACCAGACCAAGTTACTCCAAGCCCCATCCAACCTGGCCTTGAACACTGCCAGGGATGGGGCAGCCACAGCTTCTCTGGGCACCGTGTGCCAGTGCCTCAGCACCCTCACAGGGAAGAGCTTCTGCCTTAGATCTAACCTCAACTTCCCCTGTTTCAGTTTGAACCCATCTCCCCTTGTCCTGCCACTAGAGACCCTCATGAAGAATCCCCCTCCAGCATGTTGTTTCTCAGTGCAAAATCACCTCACAGCCTGCATGGGCTGATGCCAAATGCCAGGGAAAGGAAAGAAGGAAGCATGGAATAATCCCTAAAGCAGGTCTTTTAAATTGCATTGAGAAGTGGAGAATGGACATCCAGGAAATGTTTGGGGTCTTTTTATACACCAAGGAGAGCCTGCAGGACAGAAGAGACTTCCATCTATTTGTACAATGGCCATCTTAAAAATGACGAAAACCCCATGTGGTATTTCTAAAGGAAAGATCTTATAAAAGAAATACTCCAAGGCAGCTAACAAAGAGGAGGACATGGCCCAGAGGAGGAAGCCAGAAGCTTCAGTAAGACTTTGATCTGTGAGCACACACAGTGGGAACAATCTCATGCTTCATGGCTGCCAGGAAGGTTCTCCAAGCTCTAAAATCTCTCATCCATCTTGGGAAGCATCCTCTGCCTTCCCTATAGGAAATGCAAAGAGCTCCACAAGCAGCAAAATCCCTGTTGTGCCTCAACTGCCCTTGCTTGACCAGGCCTCTATAGATACCTGCAAAGCCTTTCTCTTTGCTCTTCCCCACACCCCTCCTGGAAACCCTCCCAGTATGAGCTCGGGCAGCTGGTGCACTGCTATATCTGTCATCTTGCAAGGTATTTCCACCTCTGAATCCATCTGGTTTTGTCACTTCTTAGGGGAAAGAATGGTTTTTCCCCCTTCTCCTCCTGTTATTTTCTCCTGTATTTATGCTGCTTCAGTACTGTCTCCTTTGGTAATGTAGCTGTCATGAATACCAAAGAGTCCAGCACTATTGTGTGTTATGCATACATGAGAGGGGAAGGAAATGCTCCTTGCTCCATTGCAGACAGGAAGGTCTGGGACTTTGAGAAGAGATATAGACAAACCCAAAGGTTTGGGGTTATAAAAACTGAATGAACATCAGATTAACTTCTTTTAAGCTCAGTGTTTTAAAGACCTGAAGCTGGGGAGAGAACTGCACTTTTGTGGGGTTCTTTCTGGGGTGGAACTGGTTGATCCAAGGTAGTGATGCAGAGGCTACCTACATCAAGTGAATGCTCAGATAAGACTGGAGGATCACTGTAAGCATTTAAAACAGTGTTCAAGGCCAGACTGAACAGAGCCTTGGGTGACATGGTTTAGGGTAAGGTGTCCCTGTTCATGGCAGGGGGCTTGGAACTGGATGATCTTAAGGTCCTTTCCAACCCAAACCATTCTATGATTCTATAAAGCCAATCTGTTTGCAGCATGGTCTTAAGTTACTTCTGTCTTCTCAGCTATAAGGCACAGACTTACAAATCCAGCTTCTAGGTCCCAGCACCAACAGTAATTCACAAATCTGACAAAGCAAGCTCGGATGAAGTCTCCCACCAGGATGGTTATGTAGGTCACCAGGATGTCGGACACAGTGAGCCTTACAAACTCCTGTGATTTAAAACAAGGAGAAAACATTCAGCTCCTCTAATTTCAGCAGTGTGCTTGGGACTGTGTTTCTGTATTAAGCTATTTGTCTTTATATAACAGTAACCTTCAGAAAAGCACGCCACGAGCAAACTCCCTGCCTGTTTTCAAACACCCAGCAGCACCTAAGCTTTCCTTCTGTGTTTGGGAACCATGAGCTCCGTTACAGCCATTAGCCCTGAGAGCTGCTGTTAGCATTATTGAATGCACTATGTGTTGTGGCAGCACATACACTGGGAGCAGAATGTTAATGCTGCAATAATGCTGGTGTAAAACATACATACAGCAAGGGTAATGTTGATTGTGCATGGCTCTGCTGAGGCTCAGCTCCGTAACCTAACATGGACTTGCTCAGTTGTGAACAAGAGCTGTAAGGAAGTGCAGAGAAGGGAGATGTACAAGGTAAGAAGGGTAAAATTGCAGGCAGAAGTAAGACTTGTAGGATGGAGATAGCTGGTCCCAAGGATTCAAATGGAAACACACAAGGAAAGGTTTAAAAGTCTGAGGGGATAAACTAAGGGTCTGGAGTATGACAGCTCAGCTGAACTGAGGATCAGCTGCTTCTAAGGGGCATTGGTGGCTGGTCTTTCCTCCACTTGACTGAAAAGCACTCAGCTAGTGAAGACCCATTGGGTGTACGCAGCAATGCACAGCCTCACAGCTTGATAAACCTGTGGTATCTAAATCACCTTTTGCTTTCTAAGTTGTGCACAGCCTGGCTGCAGAACCCCTTGGTGCAAGGTGAAGGTTTCAGGGTGGGTTTGTGGGGTGGGATTCTGAGGACTTGAAGGCCACCCTGCATGCATTTCAGGGGTTATTTCTGCTCTGATCCCATGGCCTTGGGATGTGTCAGGAGTTCCCTTGAGGCATGCCTTCCAGTTGGGTTTTACCCTTGCTCCAGAGCTGTTCCGCATCATGAAGTGCAGCAATAAGTGGAGCAAACACATTTGCTTCAGAAGCACAGCGAGGACCTGAATGAAACCCCAGTGCAGGCATGGCTGCAGGCTACCTGGCCTTTTGTGCTCCTCACAGCACATGCCACAGAGCTGTGTGTGCTCTGGGCGCTTCCAGGTGGGGATCTCACCACCATGGCTTGAGAACTGTGGCCAAGGACTTACACTGCCTTGTTGCTGCTGTATGAGTCAGGAAAGGAGATGTCATTTGTAAGGAAAGCTTCAAGCCTGGAAATCAGAGACTTATGGAATCTTGGAAAAGCCCTTTAGGCTCATCCAGTCCAACCTTTACCCCAGCACTGCCAAGGCTGCCACTAACCCATGGCACTGAAGGCCTCATCTACACAGTGTGTGAACGCTTGCAGGGATATGTTAAAACATCAACCACCCCTTCCTACCACCCCAAACCAGCCCAGGGACTTACTACCTAACAGGTTTCTTACAATGCCGACCGTTGTCTCCCAGCAGGGTCCCCTGGGCACATCTGCAGGATCAAGGGGAGGTGGGGTGGCACTGCTGCTGTTCCCCATGGACGCGTTACGGTGGCCAAGCAGCGTCCAGTGTGTGATGTTCTTCACCACATCCTCTTCAGCCAGCTGCAACAGAGAACCCCGCAGCCAAAACTATCAGGAAATAGGGGTGCCAGAGGACCCAAGGCATTGGGTTTCCCTCTCGTCCCTACCAGTTACCACTTGTCATATAAGCATCTGCTTACAACAGAATTGCAGTGCTGGCAATAGCACAGAAACTCCTTCCCTTTTGCCAGGAGCAGGGAGGAGCAGGAGCTCTTCCAGACCTGAAGCAGACTGGGGAGCCATGAGTTCTAAGGAGCCTGTTTCCTGCACATGGAGGAGCCAGACCTCCTTCAAGACTACTGTGTGCAGATGAAGCCTCCATCCAGTCCTTCTCCTTCACTTTCCTCATAGTTTTTCAGGGCAAAACCCACCCTCATTCCCTTATTCCTTCAGTTCTTCTCAGCTTAAACAGAGTTACTTTTTCTATGGATCAGTTAGTTAGACATTTATCCTTTCCTCCAGTTATCTGCCTGCAACATGCTACCAGGATAATGTTAAAGAAGGGAGGGCAGGGGAAGAGGATTATGAACTATATCCTTGGGTTCTGCATTAATAGAAACTGCAGACAGTGTCAGATGGAGGAAAAAACCTCAATTTACTCTCACACACCATGATTATAGAAGGCAATAAACACTCTTTCATCAGGGCTGTAAAGAGAAACTGGAGACTTGATGATTCCATGATTCTATGACTCTCTGGAAACCCCTCTGCTTGGTGAGTCTCCCCGGGGCACTGCAGCTGATGCTGGAGAGGGCTGGGGATGGAGGAAGCGCCTGCTGCAAAGGGGATGGTTATCCCTGCTGGCTGCATGGATGGGCTGCGCTGTGCTCACCCCCGGCTCTGGGTAACGATAGTGAATGTCTTACTTTTTCATTGACATCATCCATCAAAGCCAACAGGAACGTGTAGAGGTTCCCGAGGAAGAGCGCAAAGATCCGCCCCAGCTGCCACTTCAGCCCGATGCGGGGATGGTAGTTTTCGAGTGCAGCGATGGTTTCAAACAGCGGAGGGCAAAACATGCCCAGCAAGGACATCACAATTTCAACCTGCAGCATGAGGAAAAGGAGATTACTACAAATAGTAACAGCAGCCACTATCTTACTGTGAGCAGAGGAGGTGGTGTCAGACTTCAGGGCTGGGTTGCGTGGCTTGCGCTTGCAGGAGCACTTTTGCTCTTGTCCCAAAGGGATTAGTACATGAATATTTAGGTTCCTCAGGTCCCTTGTAGTACTGCTTGCATCAGCTCCAAGGTTCTTAGTTTAGTTCCAGGGGAAGCACAAGGCTTGCCTTGTGTGCATAAAGAGAATTAGTTGATGCTCATGTTATTTTCCGCATTCAGCACCTTCGCTTTTGCAATAGGCAATTATGGATTTGAATGGAAGCACATCAAGGACTCGGTTTTGCAGTGATAGTGGTATTTTGTTTCTCTATATGGTGCAGGATGCTAAGTTATACTGTGGTCAATGAGGTCATCAGCAAGTCAGTGTTAGCTCAGGCATGACTTGCAGGCTCTATGAGGTTTTTACAGCGTTAAAATGCCTGTTGGCCTGCAAAGGACTGTGTCTGTACAGCTGTGGCAGGCTCAGACTCACAGGTCTCTGTTTTTTGTACTTTTCTTTCCAGGAGAGGAAAAGTACCCAGAAATGTGCATATTCTGATCTCAAATTATCATCAGCAAAGTCTTTTTTCTTTGGGAAAAGTTCACTGAAATCATAGAATCCCAGACTGGTTTGTGTTGGAAAGGACTTAAAGCTCATCCAGTTCCAACCCCTTGCCATGGGCAGGGACATCTTCTGCTAAACCATGTTGCCCAAAGCCCTGTCCAGCCTGGCCTTGAACACTGCCAGGATGGAGCATGAACATATCAAAGTGTTTTGTGAGGACGTTCTGTCTTGCTAATGTTTTCTAAGGGAATTATGAAAATGCATGGCTTTGACTATAATTTGCCTTTGATCTCTAACTACATGCTAATGTCGTATACATTGAAATCAAACCTTTCCACATGTTGAAATGTTGGTTTTTTTTGGTGAAGACCTCCAGGACCTGAACTTCCCATCTAAAATAACACACCAGAAAGAATCTGACAACTGAAATCTTTCTGCAGCTTCTCAAATCTTATTCTCACAATTCCAGATGGATGATGAAGATCTGAGTTTAGTTTTATGCCCAACCACGGACATTTCTAACATCCAGAGGGCTTTCCAGTACAACAGTTTGTAAGCAGTAATACGCAACTTGAGTTAGATCCTTTAGAAGATGGCCAGAGTTGTAAGTGCTGAAGACCCATTGACTGTGATTGATTTCAAGGGTATTTTGCCCTCTCTGCAGAAGCTGTTCTCACTGGAAACAACCAGTGAGACCAATGTTCTTCCCAGCTAGAACAAGTACAAAGCTACAGAAGGGGCCTTCTGAGCCTCAGTAGGTAACCCCTCTGCCTTGGATGCTGCCCTCAAGCTGCAACAATGATTATATGGATGTGCAAGGAGAACTATCAGAGCAGGAAACCAGAAGCACAGCTCCCTTACCTCATTTCTTTCATACCACCCAACATTTTGCATTTTAGAAAACGTCTGGGAGCGTTTCACCACGAAGTAGATGAGGTAACCGCTTCCACACAAGCAGCATATGATGAGGACATTGGCCAAAACCCGCAGGAACCTCCTCAGGTGGATGTTCTCATCCTTGTTGCTTTCTTGCTCATCCACGATAGACTCCTGAAAAAACAGGGGTGCTCATAGGATTGGAGTGAGTACCTCACAGCACCAAGCCTAAGGCAACATCAGGTGGTTTTCTATGCTTTGAGATGCAAATACATGCTACTCTGGCTAGACTGAACTTGGTAATTTGTATTAGATTCAAATGAAGCTCCATACAGGCTTCCCAGTTTGACTGAAAGACATCAAGTGGCAGACAGTGCCCCATATCCCAGGGGAACATGGTGGGGAATTGTGCTCTGAAGTGAAACTAATTCTGTCCAATCCTATACACGGGGTTTGGGTGACCCAGGGCACAGGAGCTGGAGGTGCTGTGGTTCAGCATCCTGTTTGTATGGAGGGATACTGCCACAGGTACCCGGATTTCCCCTTAAACCTCTGCCATGGTGGGTGGGTGCTGGCAGCATCCCCAGCAGCAGACAGAGACATGCCACTTAGGGTTACCTTGAAGCTGGTGGTGATGGAGGCAAACTTGTTGTCTGCTGTCTCTGGGTTGCCAATGAGGTAGTCCCAGCTGGTGAACATTTTCCAACTGAAAATGAAGTTGTCATCGTCCCCGTCTGCTGTACTTTCGTTGGCGTTGCGTGCCATCCTGTGTAAGGGCATGGTCAGACAGTGTTTCACAGAGCCAATACGTGTCCTTCAGCTTTGCAAAGCAGTGCTGGTGGCTTTGGGTTGCTGATGGGTAAGGAAGGAGCAGGGTGACTGTTCTTGGGGTCTGGGTGCAACTGTCTGTGCTGTTGGACTTTAGGTTTAAGGAGGACTGAACAGTCAAACAGAGTCTTCAGGGCCATGCAGGTCTTGTATTAAAAACAATAACGTAAAACCCCCCTACCATAGGTGATTAAAGAGGTTAAAGAATGCTTCCACTAGCATGAAGAAAGCCTGTTTATAGTGCTTCTTGGTCCTAGGCTACCACAGGATTATGGCTACCTTTGGATAACTAAACTTGACACATTGGTGCTGTCCAGTCCACCCACTGCAACACAAAGTTTTAGTAAGACTGCAGTAGGTGCCTAGTGCTGGAACCAGTGGAATAAGTCATGCAGGGAGAGAAAAAGGATTATTCTTGTTAATCAGCACAAGGACAGATGTGGCTTCTGCTATTTCCTCTCTATTATTTGATCCCCAAAATCCTTCTGTAACTCCCACCAGAGTTCCTAGCACCAGTCCCTCAAGGAAAGCGAGACAGCAGATGATGCAATCCCCTGGCAAACGTATAGCAAATCCCCACGTCCCACTCCAGCCAAAGGCTCAAGAAGCTCTTTCTGCTGCACAGCCACTTTCAGCAGTGATAGAAATCCATGGGTTTATTCTTTCTTACAAAGGAAGAAAATCCTTTGTATGTGAGTGCCCTTCAGGCAGAGACAAGGGGTTATTTTTGGCTCTGTAGAGCACATCTCAGCAGCAAGAAGCAAGTGCCTCGGCTGCATCACTGGTGCCCTGGGGATGTTGTGGAGGCATCATCAGTGATCAGGGACAGTGCACCAGGAATATGGAGATTGGGGCTTTAAAAACCCCACTGATTGCTTTGGAGACACATCAAAAGCAGTCTGGTGCCATTTGGCTCTTTTCTGTACCCCTTGCACCATCTGTGTGACTTGTATTGGCTTTCAGGAGTGGTTTTGGGGGTGTTTTTTTGCATTGAAAAGATGGGGGAAGGAGCCTGTGAAATTTACTGTAAGTAAAATCCTCCTTCATGTACAGAAATGGAAAAACTCCATGTGCATGTACAAATTCCACCTGTTTGATGGCCCTGTAATGGTGTTGGAGAAAGGGTTAAAGCAATCCAGAGAGGAGAAGGAGGAAGAAGAGGGAAGGGGAAGGAGGTGGGAGGGCTCACAGTAATGCACATAGCACATGGCTGAGGGGAGGGCTGCCCAGGTCCACCATAGCCAGGGGTGATGGATGCATGAAGACAGCAGGCACACAGCCCCCTTTGCCCCACACTCCCCCAGCCACCCCCAAAAGCTGCATCAAGCCATAAGCTGTACCCATGGAGGGGAATCCAGCTGTGAGACACATCTGGGTGCAGACAGGGCAATCCCAGCTGTACTTACGATCTTATAACCACCATCAGGCTGTAGCCAAATACACTGACTCCAACCATGAAATATGCCATCGGGAGCCTGTATTTTAACCAGCCAATTGTCCTCTGGTTGTTGTAGTAGCCGTAAAAGAGCGCCGAGTATTTGATATAGCCCTGGAGGAAAAGCAAAAGCCAACCTTTGTGCAAGCTCTGCAGCTTTTCTTCTGCAGGAAAGGGGTTTTTGGTGAAAACTAAAGATTTAAACAAGGAAAATCAACCTGGACAAGTTTTTAGTGTCTCATTCTTGGCTTTTTTCTGCCCTGTCCCCTTTGAGAGCCATCCACCTAAGAGCTTACCATCCTAAGAGGGGGGGAAGAGGGAGAGCACATCAAAGGATCCTGGCTCGAAACTAAAATGCAGGTTTTATCCATCACTGTTTCATCCCTCCCAGAAAAGCCCCCTTATGGCTTTTTGTGGCTGTAGCCCACCTGCTTCTCTAAGCCAGCATCAGACCCTCAGATCTTGTAGAAGTGCTATAGCAATGGGATTTCCCACCATGATACGAAACTTTTCCTTTCAGCCAGGAGGCATCTGATGCTTGGTACCCTGCAGGTTTAGTTCCTTTTACTGGCTCCCACCTGCAGAGCAAATATAGCTAAAAACTGAAATCAAAGCATTGCTTTCACGTGGAAAGCAAAGCTCAGACATGAGCTCTGTTATCAACCATGTTGTCTCAAGTAGATCTATCTTTTCCCATACAAACTGCTGGGCATTCAATGAGTGTGCAGATTCTTAACCTGCGTTGGCAATCTCTCCCTATTTTTCTGTCGTATCTCATCCAAGTTGATGTGTATCATTACACATTGTACTTCTCTATTTTTTGCCTACTGTCTTTCAGCTCATCAGTTGTGTAGTTATCCAATGTGGCCATGAAAGTTGAGCAAGCTCCCCTCTGATTAAGCCTTTGGAAAGACCAAAATTGAGGCATAACTTGAAGCTTTTACCAGAGGCTGTGTAATGGATCTTGTTTAGAGATACTGAATACTTTAAATGGGGAGGGACCTCTGGAGGTCATCTAACCAAGCCTCCTGCTCAAAGTAGACCCAAGTTCCAGATGACATCCAGCTGAGTTTTGAAGATCTCTAAGGATGGAGATCCCACAGTCTTTCTATCCCTCTCTATCCAGTGTCTGACCACCTTCCTTTAATCAATTAGACTCAGTTCTCCCTAAAGCACTGGGATTTTCATTCCTAACTTAATATAAAGCTTTGGTATCCCTGGGTGCAACATTAGCTGTGTGTTTTCCCTGCACAAAGCACAGTCTCACAGGTATAGGACAGCTCTGCAGCCAGTGCTTCTGAGCCACCGGGGAGCATACAGCAAGCCTGTGGCTCATAGTGTGCTATGTGTAACACGTGCTGGGGAGGTGTAATGAAAAACTCCTCATAAAGTGTAAAGATAATGTCACTGGAAGGTGCCAGTGAAGCTTGTTTGTCAGATTGCAATCCCAAACCTTTGTCTTTTTCATTCATCAAGTGGCAGGGACTGAAAAAAAGAGGATTTCTGCTCACACATCACCCAGTATGTTCTGTAAACTCCATTTGTGAGACATGGTGTCTGGTGTCCAAGTGAGATTTATTCCTTTCTACTCCTCTAGAAAGCCATGATGTGACCTCCTTGCTGCCAAAGTATACATTTCCTTGGCTCTTTTGTCTTGAAATGCATTTTTCAGTATCACAGTTTTGACTCTTTGTTTTATGCCTGCTCTGAAATAAGTTTCCTCATTGCATTTCCTTGGAATACTGGAATAAGCATCTATTAATTTTCAAAGGGCAAGCCTGTGAAGGGCTTCATTTGACATCTTCAGGCTGCTGAGGGTATAGGTGTACATCACTGCCCCATAGCTTCTCAGGCTTGTCAGATTGCTCCCTGATGTCAAGCAGCAAGGGAGTGAGTACCGGACCTGTATGGCAGAGGGTTCAGAGGATCAAGCCTTTGATGGAATGTAGATGTATGTACCAAGACACAAACAAGAGACTAGCAGGCTGTGGTAGCCAGCCTTTCATTCTGATAGGGCCTCATCCAAGAGCAAATTTCCTTACTGACAAGTGTATAGTCCATGGTCTCCCAGATGAAATCAGTGGCTGCAGTTTAGCAGCAGTGCAGCACAGGTTCTTCTTTGGTTTGGAGGTGGTTTTTGTTTGTTAGGCTGGGTCGTTTTGTGGTTTTGGTTTGGTTTTTGACAAATGAGTTTAAATGCTGCTTATTTTGCTTTTGGTAATGAGGAGGGCCACAAGAATGATCAGGGCATTGGAGCACCTCCCATATGAAGATAGGCTGAGAAAGTTGGGGCTCTTCAGTCTGGAGAAGAGAAGGCTGCATGGAGACATCATAGCAGCCTTCCAGTATCTGAAGGGGGCCTATAGGGATGCTGGGGATGGACTCTTCATTAGGGACTGTAGTGATAGGACAAGGGGTAACAGGTTAATACTTAAACAGGGGAAGTTTAGACTGGATATAAGGAGGAAATTCTTTCCTGTGAGGGTGGTGAGGCACTGGAATGGGTTGCCCAGGGAGGTTGTGAATGCTCCATCCCTGGCAGTGTTCAAGGCTAGGTTGGATGAGGCCTTGGGTGATATGGTTTAGAGCGAGGTGTCCCTGCCCATGGCAGGGGGGTTGGAACTTGATGATCTTAAGGTCCTTTCCAACCCTAACTATTCTATGATTCTATGATTATACAGTGTGCTGCTCAAATGAGCTTTTCATTCAGTGTTATGTTATTCAGAGTGTCACCAATTCACCTCTAATTTGGAAACCTGGCAAGGGAGACAATGTGAAGAGCAATAGCCAGAGGAATCCTCAGCAGAAAATGGGTGGTGAACAAAGGTCTGGTCTTGCTCAGTATTTGAAGCCTTATTAATAAATCCATTTAAATCATCTGTCTTACATTAAAGAGTTGAGGGGGGTTGTTTTAGCTAAGGGAATTGCAGTGAGGTTTATGACAGAAGAACTGGGTCTGTAATATGCGGACCAGCACCAACAAGCATTTAATAAGCATCTCCAGAAGCAGCAGTTTTGCAAGTCAGACCCCAAGGTACTGGCCACAGCAGAACCTCCTCACCCCTGCATACATCTTATTCTCTTTTGGGCTATCACCTAAAACATTTAATCCCTTTGGCCTAAATCTTCAAAGGCAGTCACTGACTGGGGAGGGGGTGACTTGGGGCTGCAGCCAAGCTCTTGTGGGCAGATGGAAATTTAGGTTTTACTTTTGGGCCCAAGTCCTAAACTTTGGTTCCAGCTCCAGGCTCTGATGAGGAGCAGGGATGGTAGGGATGCAGGGAATGATCCCCTTCCTAAGGCTATGAGCAAGTTTGTGGTGGCTATTCTGAATAAAATTCCAGTGATGAAGGTGAGATGATGATCTCTATTTCTCTAGCTCTATGTATGTTTAAAATACAGCAGAAATTTATTTATCAAGTAGTTCTTTCCTCTGAAAAAAGATCTTTCATTGAACAAGTTCTGTGTCTCTATGAGACAACTATATGCACGTGGTTTAAGTGAGTTGCACCAAGTTCACCACTGGGCAATTAACATTGTCACCTGCTTTACTGATGCTCACAGACAAACCTAACTTTCACTTCTTATACTTCATGAATGAAAATACCATGTAGATAAAAGGGTTTCCCAAATCTGCCTTAACTTCCTTCTGTGTGGAACTGCGTTAATTCCACTGGCCTTAGTGGGTTTTTCTTTGTCCTGTTGCATCTCATGGACCCCAGACAAACACGTTTCGGATGGTGTTAGCCAGCCAGGCTGGGGGAATGGTTAGGCTTGATGATCTTAAAGGTCTTTTCCAACCTGGTTGATTCTATGATTCTGTGTCCCCTTTGGAGTAAAAGTGTATCTGCTTTGTACCTGCAAACCTTAGACATACATGTCTGTGTGTGTATGTGTGTGTATAAACAAACGTGGTATGCACAAGCTAGCACATTTGTGCATGGAAGTGGTTCAAATCCATATGCTGTTTTGGCCAGAAACCTCAGGAGATAGACACACAAATCTTTCATTGCAGAACGTGTTTTCATCTTCTGGAAGGAATAAGTGCATTGCTGGTTTACCTGGGCTCAAATTCATCCTCTAACTAACTTTTGAAGGGTTTCAGGAGGTATTCAACTGATTTCAGATGATTAATGCTCATGTGCTTACCTCAAAATCCCATAGAACTGAAAAATCCATAGCTGTTGCTTGTTCAGCCCGGGGTACAGTTTTCCTCGGCATGCTCCCATATGGCATTCCCATCAGGACCTAGTGAACATTAATAACAGTGCTGCATGTATAGTATGATACATGGTACGGGTTTTGTGGGTTTTTTTGTTAACAAGACCCTTTGGTTTTGCTTTTGGTTGGTTTTCCTTTTGGTTGGTTTTATTTCCACCCAAATAACCAGAGGGCTTCCCTTTCTCTGGTAACATCAGGTAGCATATTGCTAAGGACCTATATCCCTCAATGATCAGCTCCAGTTTAAATGTCCTTGGCTTAGCAAGAAGTTCTTAGCTTGAACTTCATGGGTGTAATGCAATAAAGGGATTAGCTTAATCTCTTTATGCAGGACTCCTCCTTTGAGAGAAGTCAAGAGCACTGGGTCGAGCTTGCAGTATATTCCATGTTTTAGGTCTCAAGGTGATGTGAAGGGCAGTTAGGTTTGGGGAAAAGGCATGTGACAAAAGGGTGCAAAGAAGAGTTTTCATAGCACATCCTCTTCTTCTGGCATCACACAAAGCAGCAAGCCCAGCAGCTATGGAAGACCAGGTGGAGAACATTGAAGGCTATGGAGAGTTAAATACATTTACAAGCAGACTCTAATGCTTATACCGAAATATGTCATTAATATTCATAGCCTAGAAAGGTCTTAGCATATAATCTATCACTTACTTACTTTTTAGGGCTATCTAATTAATTTCCAAACCATTTATGATTAAATGTTTATTGCCCAGCGGCTTTCCATATCATAACAGCTCAGTAGGCAATAAGTAATGGTACGCATACTTTAAAGATGAAAGCTGTTCAGTCTTCTACCATATGAATAGTTCCTAACAAAATACATTTGTACTGTTCAGTGCTAATGGTTATGTCTCTTCGTCCTGGGAGGAGGAAGAGCTTTCACTTTTCATAGTGTGAGCAACCACATTAAGGAGAACAAAAGCACAGTCCTTGGGAGAGGCTCTGTGCTGCATTTCTGCTCCATAGAAATCTGCATTGAACAGAACAGATGCCACTGCCTGTGGATTGCACAACCTTTAAAGACTGCACTGAGTAATTTAGCCAGAGCTGTAATGGCTGCATTAAGGAATTCTTCACTAAATGATCATATGAAGTTGGCGATGAGATGCTTTTCCTTCTCCAAGAACAGTGAGAAACAGGAAAACTAAAAATAAAGCTCTACCTTGTGAATCATCCCAATTAGAAGGACAGAAAAGGGATATTTCCCAAACAAATGTGGGATGGCAAAGTGCTGGGGAATTGTTTGCTCCTTCCCTTGATGGTTCCTCCTGTGGGGCTGTGCTTTAGCTGCTATGCCACACATAGGGTGCAGAAGGGGTTTTCTTAATCACTTTTAGACCACAGTCCATTTCTTATGGCTTTTATAGACCTGAGCTTGTATCTAGAATTCCTAGGTCATGTTTTTCACTATCATTAAAACAAAACCTGGCCTTAAATTAGGGGTTTGAGCCCCTGATTTAGCTGCTGAATGGGAAAGATCTTTTAGGGCCTTTTAGGGCCTTTTAGGCCTCCTGGTTTCGATATGACTTTGCTTCTGTGTCAGCAGCAGCCTTGCAAGTTCATTGTAAATAATCATCCTTATACAATCATACTTATAAAGCACTAGCTGTTGGTGCTATAAATCTCATGTTCATGTGTCCTTAAACCACAGCATCATGCTAAGCAACGGGCAAGATACTACTGAAAGGGGAATTAAGCACTTACCTCTGGAATTATAACCAGCCCAAATATTAAACCAAAAAGGACAAGATTCACTCCATACATCCACCGCAGAAATATGAAGTAGGAAGCGACTGAGGAGCCAAAGTGACCTTAAACCAGAAAACACTTCATGGTTAGGAGTTTAGTAGGGTTAAACTGTCCCCAGCAACCCCTTTATCCTCAGGTCTCCCCGGTGTGTTGCCCAAGACCCTCCTGACATTTCCCACCACTGATGGAAGCAGCAAAGCCCAGAGGTACCAGGGGTATGCGCTCCTCATTTGGCATCAAAGATAGGGATGAGGGAGCTGGAGCATTGTTTGGGTGAAGCAAACCTGGCTTACAAAGGACAGAGACCACACAGCAGCTTCCACTTACTCTCCACTTCTTTTATCTTCATCTCCCAGGGTATGCACTGGGTTTTGAAATTGTCAAAGTCTCTCTTAAACTTCACCCATTTCTGAAACAAGACAAGGCTGCAGTGAGCAGAGAGGTGTGAAGAGGGAGGCTGCTTCCTCTGCAGGGCTTTCTAATGACAGGGCTGGGTAGCATTGCTAGAAGTGGGTATAAAGTCCAAACCAGAAGCTCTGGTCTGGGTCTCATCTTTTGGGCTGTTTCAGAAACTACCTTCAATGCAAAAGTCCCCTAGCCCCAAGTGTTCACATTCATTACCTGAGCTTTAACCTTGCCAGCTTTTTGGAAAGCTGCAGTTGTGCTGTGCGTGCTATGATGCAGAACCGACTCTATTGGAAATACAATTTGATTTGGTAATAAACTGAGCTCACATCCTTTCTCATCAGGCCAGCAACTAAACTCCCATTGATTTCAGCATCTCAGGCCTCGCTCCATTTTTCACTTCTCAATATAATCTCCATGACAACATGCAACTTGGCTACCATCTTCTGTCTTAGAACACAGTCATCATTCTCCCTGTTATCTCCTCATTACTGGGGAAGATGGAATTTTACAGGAGTCCACAGGGCAGTGCAAGCATTTCGCGTGGCCTTTCTGTCCTTTAGGGGTACCTTGTCTCAAAGATCAAGGTTTTGGAGATTGCAAGCAGAAAGCTGTTGTTCTCCCTGCTCCTACAAGCCCTGCCTTGCTTTTGGGAAGGTCTCAAGGAGATTCAGACGGGAGGCAAATTCCCCCCGTTGTTTCTGTAGTAGTCATAGTTTTGAAGCCTATTTGAATGCAGGCAGGAAGTTACTCTGATTTGCTGCTGTTTCCAAATACACTCAACCAAGCAAAAAGTGATGAATACATAACCAGGTACCCAAGCTTTCCCCTGACATCACTCTGGCACTTACCTTTGCCATCATCATCTTATACGCATACAATTTTTTGCCCTTCCCTTTTCCTAGAGCTCCTTCAAACTTCTCCACAAAAGCTTGTGCCTCCCTAGGTGCAAGATAAATAAGCAGGTTATTGAAACAACAAAGGAGTCGTTTGCTTTTCACTTCTTCACACATCAGTGCAAAAGCAGCTGTGCTTATGCAAGGGTGGATGTGATGTCTGGTCTCCCTCCACACTCTGCCAAACACGGAGCACAGGGGCATCACCACTCCCCATGGGGCTGTGCATGCCTTCCAATGCTATTTTGAAAGCTCTCCTGATAGAAAGGGGTTTTTCAACCAATAAAGCTGGGATTTGAATCGTTGCCTTGACATGGAGATGGTTTGTGATGATCCTGTTGACTTGTGGGGTTTGGTTTCCTGGGTGTGCTCTGCCCCACTGACCCCACTGCCCTGCATTAAGGGGTCTCTGCAGCTGCCTGAGCTCTTCCCACATTCAACACTATCTCTGCTCCATAAACCTTTGCAAATAACACAGCATTTTTCCAAGCAGCCCCACCTCAGGAACGTGAAGTAACATGGCACTTTGCTGCTCTGATTTCTGCCTGACAATGGGCATGAGTAAGCAAACCAGGGCACAGAGTCTGCTTTAATAAGTAGCCTGGCAGTAGTGAGTCATTTGGTTTTAAATACAAGGGTAGAATGACCTGGCCATGAGTATCAGTTGAACAGATTTGCCTGTTCTTTGGTTACAGAGGCTGAAAATCAAATTCCACATTGTAACTCTGATCTTTGATGCCCAGACAGGCTGGCTGGGCTCTGCCAGCTGCTCTTACTGGGACTGGGGTATTACAGGAGCAGCAGCAAATATGCAGTATCTAGGAAAGGCAAAGTGCCTCTGGCAATCAGCAAAGACACCTGGGCTGTGGGTTCCTGGTGTGAATGGTACCTGAGCACCGAGAGCTTCTTCACCATCCTCCAGGGCTTGTTCCTCATGGTGGAGATCAGCTTTTTCTTTTGCTCCACCTGCTCCATTAGCATGGCAAGCTCTTCCTCGGACGGTGACTCCTCATCAGATGAGTTGGAAGAAGCAGAAGTGCTGGCAGAGACACAAAGTAAAGGGCACAGAATAGCAAACCTTGTAGGAGTTAGAGGGAAGGTCACTGGCCCCTGGAGATCTCACTCTGATGTGCTCACAGTGTTTCACCATCTCCTGGCTTGGTGTGAGCCGAGATGCTCAGGGCAAGGCTGCTTAAAGCCAGGATAATGAAGAGATGATTGCTCCCCACCATAATTCACCCAACATTGTGTTTTGGATCCCACTTCAGCTACAGAAGCACTGCCTAGGCTACAGCTGTATCTGGAGAAATGCTTTTCACATGTTCAGAAGGAAGTAGAAGATATGGGGAGAAGCAAAGGGTTGGGACAGGAAGTGATTTGAAAACGTGAGAGATCCATTTTAACCTCAATGGTTCCATAGGCCAACCAAGAAAAAGTGCCCAGGTCTGAGTGGCTTAAGCTGTCCTGTTGAGGAGTGCTTTTCTAGCCTCAGCTCTAGGTGTTGGGACTCCACTACATGCATGGGTTTGATCCTGGCTGAGAAACAACAACAGAAGACTTTGGCAACACTTTATGTTCCATTTTACACTGCTCTTTTCCACTGTTGTACCTCTCCTGGGGGAGCAGTAACTTATTCAAAGCCCATGGGTTTTGTGGTTCTGACCCTTATGCCACTGGCATGTTTATAGCGCTGCCCATCCGACAGGAGGCACCGTACCTGGGGATTGTTGAATTACCTGTTTCTCCTGTCTTTCTTCTGTTTGTTCTCCCCCTCTTTTCCCTTCTTATTTGCTTTCTTTTCCTTGTTTTCTGACTCCTTTTGACCTTTGGTAGGAGCCCTTTTGCCTCTCTGCCGGCTCCGATCCTCTCCTGCCTTTTTTCCACCACTGCTTTTCCCTTGGTAGTTCTTCCTCCTAGAAGCTTCGTTTTCTTGGCTACAGCTGTCTTCCTCTTTGCTCTCATCTTCTTCGTTGTCTTTCTCTTGCTTTTTCCTTTCAAGTCTGCTTGCTCTGCTGGTTTCCCTGAGGGTTTTTTTCTTGGGTGTCTTGTCCTTTATTTCGTCTTGTGCAAAAGATAAAAGACAAGTACATTGGGAAATCCATGCTGGCAAAATAAGGATCCACCAGAAAAGCATGGGCAGCCAGGTTTGCCTGATGCAAACCCTAGTGAAGCCATTGAGCAGATGCCTGTTGACGTGGGTGGGCTTTGTGTTATACCCCATCCAAGAGCCACATCCAACTCTTCGGTTATGGAACTCCCATTTAAGGCAGTATGGCTGATTTTAGCACATCAGTGACTTAGATGTGGCCATAAGAAAACTGGAAATCAGTTACAAACACAAAAGCCCATCCATCAGAGAGCAGAGACAGATATCATCCCAACCCGTAAAGGCACCAGAGCAATGGAAACAGAAACCACAATTGGTTATACAGTATGAAGTTTGATTGTTGGTGCAATGTCCTTGAAAGGCATTTACTTTTAAAGGCTGGGGATGAAGGTCTTCTGTTTACACAGGGAAAAAGCACAGCTTAGGAAGGACCCAGTTTTGTTTCACTGAGCTTGCTTTTATATAGGAAAGTCTATATCCAGAGATAAAAAAACCCAAATAGTCTCTGATGCGCGTTCCATTCCTATTGGCACGCAAGCTAAAACCCTGTTCTGTGCTGAAGTCAGAAGTGCTTCCAGCTTGAAGGATTGGAATGGAGCAGGATTTAATTGTGTGATACTATAGAAAGGGGAAAAGCATCCAAAAAAACCCCAACCCTTTTCCCACCAAGTGCATTAAAGTCAATTGTGAGTTTCCCACACTCTCTTGGCTTCTAATTTTCCGTATTTTCTGGCTGATGAAAATCAAGTGTTCAAACAAACAATAACAACAAAAAGGTACACTTTTGGGGTTGGTTTATTTCCCCAGGGTAAGGGGAATTGTACTAGAAGGAGGAAATCAGGCAGGAATGGGCTCCAGAGTGAAAACTGAGCAGCCGAAGAGGTGAACAAAACTAGAAGCAAAAAGAGTTTGAGCATTTGTGTCGTTGTGAGAAGCTAGGAATTAGTAACAAGCAAATGGTTTTGTTAGTAGGTGGTGGCTGTCACTTGTCACTGGGAATGAGAAGTTGCTTTCAACTCATTCCTCAGGAGCCATTAGGTAGGCTTCAGTTACTCTGTAATGGTCCATCTCAGCTGGATTTCAGTTAGTGACCTAGGTCAAAGGACCACCCCTCTTCGGGTAAATGTTCATTTTATGGAGCCAACTATCACAGTTTTCATTTGCAACCTATCAAATACGAGGTGAAGTGTGGAAAAGTCATTTGTTACTTCCATTGCCTTCTTTGCAAGTATGGAAAAGGTGGATATGATTTAAAACCAAAAAAATCCCAGTCATTTGCTAATTACTGTCTCATGTTTTATGGATTGTGCAGACATGGTTGTGAACAGTTGTTGCAGTAGCATCTATATTCATATCACCTCTCCAGTGCTGTTACCTCTTAGCTATCTTTCTTTAGTTAGTGTTATAATCCCACCATATAGCTATTTCTCTTTATTTACCATACTTACAGGATTCAAGTTGGTTTTAATCCTGTCACTGGCTCTTCCTGATTTTCTTCACAGCCATCTCTCTGCCTCCAATCCATTTTCATTTATATCTTCTCGTGGCCATAATTAATCAAGATACCAGCATGTTACAGTCTAAGCAAGCATTACAGGGAGGGCAAGCAGAACCTTGCTGTGATGCAAAGCACCCTGTATAGGATGCTGCTTTACTGCAATGCCTGGTTTATTAAGGAGGACTGACAAGGGACATGGGCTCTGACAGCTTCCTACCTTAGAGCATGGGTGAAAGGGGACAGACTGCTTAAGTTTACATATCACCAAGTCAAACCTCAAGGGGAAAACCTGCTTGCTGATGAAATGGTTCCTGTTGTAAAGCAAGTAACAAGCCACAGAGAAAAAGAAAAGGTACCACCTCTCATATTCCAAACAAGACCACATTTTTAAATCTCTACATTACCTTCACTGTCTGTGTCACTTTCCACTTGTCCATCAATCTCTATTCCAGCTGCAAGACAAAGAGCAAAGAGTAATCGCATTTGTTACTGGGATTTACACACGTGATGCTTTACGCAGCTAGCCATTAAGTGCCAGCTGGAATTGGCAGGATGTCCCTTATTGATTAGACATTATATTCTTTTCCCATAGTGATGTTCTTCGTCTTTGCTTTAGTTTGGCAGGGTGACAAAAGTTCCCCTCATGAGCAAACTGAAACTGCATTGACAAACACAAAATGTGCTTGGAAAGACTTGGCAGCATCAAAAAGAAATAGTGATACCAACCATCTTCCATGATGACCTGTAAAGCACATTTCTTTTTCTTCCCCATGGCAGCCTCCGGTCTTATGCACAGACACCGTAGCTGCTATGTTGCACACCCCAATCATATGCAGGTTACTCTCTCTTCCAGTGCCCATGAGCTTGTCTCCTTGGCGTTGCAGACAAATGAGCACATCCAGACGTCAGTGACTTCTTGCTTCCAAGGCACGTGAACAGGGAAGGGAAGGAAAAGGTGGGAGAGGCAGGGAAGACGCAGGCTCTGCCTCAGCCCACCCAAACACTTCCCCTTCTTCTCCCTTCTCCCTGTGAAAAAAGCACCCATTGGCATTACATTGCAGTTCATTATTTAAACATGAAGGAAAGCCCTTTGGTGGATGCACGGTGGTATCGTATGAAACACAGACACAAGTCGCGTCTGGTTCTGACAATAAGCATGTGGCTGCAGTTTTTGGAAGGATCAATTTTCTTAATGCCATATTCTTTACTGAGCTACAGCAATCTGTGTAACCCTGTTAGTCAACCCCCTGCACCTTAATAAACCTCTCAGTCGGTGCCCCTCAGGGCATGGCTGTGGATCTCCTTCTGTCCTCCATGTATGCCTTTAGTAGGGAACCCATGAGCTAATAGATGCAGCAAGGAGTCAGGAGTCAGGACACCGGGATCTCTTTTTCCTTTGCACCTTTATTCTGTATGACCTTCACATCCTCATTGCACTCGCTGGTAAAATAGGATAGATTTTCCTTCTAGGTGCTCAGAAGCTTAATTAATTAATGTGAGACCCTCGTGTGGAAGGTCCTTTAGTACCGCACAGTATTGGATTGCACGCTGCAGCTTGCAGCCTTCTGATGGGACAACAGTAGGTTTGTCTGAGCAACCTCCGGTGTAAAACCTGCAGCGCTTGCTCCAGCTGCAGCTTCTTTGGAGGGCTGGTGCATCCCAGAGCAGGGCTTCTCCTGCAGGCATGCGAGTTGAGCAGGAAGGCTCTCACAAGAGGGAACAGACCCTCGTTCCTTCTCTGAAAGCTGCTGCAGACCCCCAGCTTGCACAGGCATCCCTTGGAGGATCTGGCATGGTCACAGTACACAAAGACTCTTATCCAAGTGCTGATAGGGAGAGTGTTAATTCCCCCCTTCTGTCCCAAAGGGATGAACACTGTGGAGATCAGCTTGAGGCTGCTGGCAGCAGGGACTCTTGTGGGTGATTCCTGCTTTGCATCAGGGGCAGCACCCAAGGAGGTGCCAGCCTGAATGTGAGACTCTCTGATGGTTTTTGCTCACTGAATTCTGGTCCAAAGGCACCTTTCAAGTATTTGAAGTCCAACCCCATGGATCTTTTTGATCTGCCTTTGACTTTACCTCAACTTGCCTGAGCTAAATACATAACATAAGATATATTCACACATTATTAACAACTCTAACCCTACACATTCATTGCACAGGGCATTTTCACTGTGTGCTCCCCACACCAGTGGGTCTGACTGGGTCTGAAGACAATGGCAGTGGGTTTTGAATGTCTTCCCAGTGAACAAGTTTCACCTGTAGCCCTATGTGTAGATATGGCCGGTTGAAAAGTTGTTCCAAATGGGATCAATAGGTCATTACAGTTGCTGGAGGCTGCTGGAATGGATTTGCTTCAGGCTACTTCAGTTGCCTCAAGCCTCAGCCCCAAGCATTTCTTTCCCAAATAGTCTTCATTTTCCATGTTAAATGAAAGCCAGATTTCTGGCGAATCATATGGTAAGAGCAAAGAGTTGTGAATGCCCATCAACCAGCTGCAATACTGTGCTTGGTGCTGGCACTGCTTCTGTCTCATGGCATCCTTCTTCTCCACCAAGTCATACTCAGATGCTTTTTGTATCCTCAAGGTATCCTTATGTGAGCATCTCAGTGCCAGATGGGAGTGTCCTTGTTTCTACCCTCCATATGGTCAGTAATTCACCCATTGTCTGCACTGGGCTGGGGCAGATGCAGGCTCCAGACCTGCTTGTGTCACTTGGCATACCCAGAGGTACCGAGTACATGAAAAATCAAGGGACTAAAACTTCATTTTACTATCAAAATATACAGCCAGGTGATACTCCTGTCCTGCATCTCCTTTGATATTATAATCTGTCCATGGTGATGGTGTGATGCTACATGGCAGTCACAGGGGCGCTGGGCACTCTTTACCCCAGGGTGTGATCATCCCACACTGTGGGTGATAGCTGAGTGGTCCCCTGGGATCTATTCTATGGAATAGAGCAGGAATGGTAGCTGTTTTGTGCAGCACTCATGAGGCAACACATCGGTATGGCTGTTTAGTGACTGAACATAACTTGCAGTAAGCTCTGTATGGCTGCTTCTTCCCTGCCCTGTACTTACACTTTGCAGTGTAGCAAGCTTGACCATGGAAAAACTGTGCTCTTGTAGGCTGGGTGGCAGCACTTTACCCTTGCATAGGAAGGGAACATTAATTTTCACACTTCCTACTTCACTGGACTCCATCCCGTGGAGGAGTTGGAAGAGGGTTATTAAAATGGCTGCTCAAGCATTTAAGCTTAAGAAATCCCAATGTTACCTTTCAGACTCAGCCTATGGTCCAACAGATCCCTTTGAATAAGATCTGCTGCTCCCTTTCCTTTGCCTGAGAGCCTCAGAATAAATAAACCCATCCCAACTGATGCTGTCTTCCTCCCGTGGAAGCAAAATGGTCCATGTGCAGCCACACAAGCACAATGAGAAACCCTGAGGTCTTTGTCCCTCATGGGACATGTCCTTGGGGGTAGAGGCAAAGCCACTGTCACTTTGGAAGCAGATTAAACCGTGCCAGGGGGTGTGATGCAGAAGACAGGCTGAACAAAGGAAGCTTCAGGAGTGGGGACCAGGGCAGCAAAGTGGTGTCACACCAGCCGAGACCAAGTGCAGCTTGGTGAGGCCAAACCGTGGACGTGCCAGCTTTGTTTGCCTCGGGTTTGGGTATGTGCTTAGAGATCTCTGATTTCCCCTCCTCACCTGAATCAGACTGGTGGAGATCTCACTGTACCTCTGTGCTGGCTTTGCCTGTGTGATACTGTGCTTATAGTTCATGGCCACTGGCAAGTGCTAGTCAAAAAGAGAAAGTGTAAAGCATAAAATATGTAGTTGTTCGTGTTCACTTTGAATTATTCATGGGGAAAAAACTTAAGGTGGGACATTCTATACAATGCTGTATTTGAAATAAGGAAAATGTACTTCATTTGATGTCCTTTTGACACCCATCTTTCCCAGGTGGTTGAAGATGCTTCATTAAAAGAAGCACATATAAAAACCCTGCAACAAGCCCCAGGCATGGCTGGCCTGGGAAAGCAAAGAGACATCTCATGCACTGTGAGAGAGGTCTCACAAATGAGGACTTTCTGCTTCTGTGTGTTTGCATCAAACAGATCCTGAAATAGCTCCAGGGAGGGCTGACCTGGGCCTGCATAGCTGTACAATGGGGAGGTGCTGCCATTCCTCAGCACCAAGCATGCTGCTGTCCCTCAGTTTATGAGCCTGATTTTCCTAAGAGGATAAAGTGTCTTGCGGGGTTTATGATTTTTTTTAGGATTATGGATAGGGGGGGATTAATGGATTAGTCTCTTACCTCTGCGTTATTCCACACAAGGTATGAATAAGTAATGCACGGCCACAAACCCAGTTATTCCTTATGTAAATGTTAGACTTCGTACACAGAGTGTGAGCCATTTCTGGAGTTGTAGCGGTAATTTTTCCATCCTATACTATTTAGCTTGTTTCTCCTCATTGTGGTGACTAGGGCTATATAACTGGACAGGTTTGGGTTTTAACATACAGGGGCATTGGATGTCTCACCCACCTCCAAGTGTTAAATACAAAGCAGTTGTGTTATAGAGAGAGGGTAACTGAATCCTGCCAGGACATACAACATGCTCCTAAATGCTTAATGAGCTCGTGTTTCTCCCTTTCTTGCTTTCTGATTAACATAGGGCTTTAGCTAATTAATCCATGGATTACATTGATTCAAGATTTATCTCGTCTGGAGTTAATCTTTACTTGAGAAGGCTTTTGAGTAATAACAATAACACCTGACCTGTGCGAGGATGTTTTGGTGAGGGCTTAAAACTGGCAACTAGAGCCAACTTTAATGCTGTATCTGAGACAGACATTGAAAAGTCAGAGATCACCTCCCAACACTGTTACAGAAAACTCATTTTTACCAACAAAACCCCAACATAATCATGCTTTCCAGTGCCTCTCAGGTGTGTTCTGTAAAGCTAGCTTCAGCTTAGCTCTGATCCAGCCCAGCTTTTGGCCACAGTCTGGGGTTAACTTTAAAACAAAGAAATGAATGACTAAAACATGGAAATCCAGCATGGGCTACATGTTACCGTGAGCACAGATGTATACAGAGGTTATCCTTGCCCTCAGATACTCTCTGCAATGCTGTAGTGTTTCTCTGCACTTTAGTCCAAAGGGCCTGTCCTCTGCCAGGGTGGCACTGGAAGGCTCAGAAAGCAAGGATTCATCAGCAGTCTTCACTGCACACATAGGGGAAGACAGTCTCATTCATCTCACATAGTCTGGAAGAGACATTCCTCAGCTTTTTGGGGTCTCTGAAAAGAACCCCCTGGCTCCCATAATGAACAGTGGGTCTGGACTATAGCTGGGGGCAGTAAAATGATGCCAAACACATGCCCCGTGTCATTTCTGCAGTGTGAACATCAGTTACTTATAAGGATGATACAGTTCCACTGCACCAGATTAATGTTGTGTGCTCAGGATGCACAACTCTGTGCTTTGCCCAGGGAAATATCTTTTATCTGAATAATCCCAACCAGAGGTGGGGAGCAGGAGGTCCTCAGGGGCAGAGCCATTGCTTTCCTATTACATTCCCACTGTTGTTTCCCAGTGTTCTCTCTTTGGCTTTCACTCACTTCATGCCTCAAGGCACATCGGGATGGGCAACAAGCTCCATACATGCTGTTAGCCTGTGTTTGAGCTGGAGAACAATTCCTGCCTGAGGGCTGCTAATTCAGGTGCCCTGTCAGGAGGAATTACAGCAAAAGGTACCTCT